GCTTTTGACAATGACAAAAAAAAATAAGTTATTTTTGACAAATGACAAAAAAATAAGCTATTCTTCTTAAAAATATCACACATCACAAAAATTCTTGGTTATAGTAATCTTTCACCTGTTATTATCAAAGTAGTTGGATCTAAGACCTTCAATGTAATAACTATAAACAACTTAAAGAACAAATTCTAAGCAGCAGGATTTGTACTGGATATTTTTCAGAAAAACTCACACTAGCATCACTTTCTATCCTTCAATATTACTCAACTTTGATTTTAAGAACAGCAAGAATCTGAGGTGTTCTACAGTCCTATTTACCACAACTGCACTGCTCCAAAAGAACACAATTAGCAAACAGGCCAGCTTGGTGGTAAGCTAAGAGGAGAGTTCACACATACAAATTGTGCCTTATATGCCTGACCCTAAAGGTTAACCTTGATAAGTAGCTCTGCACTCAAGAAAAAGGAGGAATAAAAAAGAAGCAACCAAAGTATTGTCTTTTCCAGTCAAGCTATGTGCTCTTGATACACATCTCATTTTGCTCTTCTTAGCAGCTATTTGTAGAGATAGGTACTCCTATTAAAACTCAAAAGTTGACTGTGTCTGGTGATTCAGCTCAAGACCACTCTTGTTTCTTCCATGCTTGGATTTACAGCCTTTGAAACCCAAAGAAGGGTCACTAAGAGTTGCAATTGACTCAACAGTATTGAATTGAGTTTTGGGGTACATATAAAATGAATTCAAATAGTAGACTATACACCTCATGACTGTAATGTTTGTATACTCTTTCTTTTCTAAAGCTCACTTCCTAATCTCTGTTGTAGTCTTTGTTAGGCATATGTTTGAAGGTTCTCTATTAACATTGATCATATTAACATTAATAACCACTATAATTATTAACATTAACTCATATTAAGAAGTAAAATGAACAATAACTTTTCAACTAATAAGTCATAACAATTATTAAAAAGCTGATACATGACAACATAACTGATAAGTGTTATAAATGGTCCACGAAAATTACTTGTTAGCATTCTTAGATTTCCTCAAGTTGACTCATAGTGAGTCAACTAATGTCTGACAGCTAGAATCCCCTGCCGAATCCTGCCATCCCCACAAACTCCACTGTGCTTAAAACCACTGTTGCGCTGGCTTTATCAATCCATCTCATCAAAGTAAGTTTTTGCATATGCACATAAGAAATCCATAATACAAAGACTTCTTTGTATGTAGAACCAGGGAATCAAATAAAGGATGCTTACACTCTTTATCTAACCACTAAATTGTTTGACTCCCTGTAGTCGTTCTAGAAAGTACCATTCTTAAGACACTCATTATAATGAAAGTGAGAAAAATGCTGTTCCTGCTTAGAATGTATTTTCCTTAAAATGTAATTTTAATTAAAAAAGTAAATAGAACAAATAATTTTACAGAAGAACGTTTTAAAGAATGTCATGATTGAGCAATGAGTAGGGAATAAAGGACAAAAACAAGCTTATTGTAGCAGCTGATTTCATAGCAGAGTCTCCCAAAAGTGAGTCAAAATCATACTTTCAAGTCTCAAATTCTTTGTGTTAACACATCCCACTTCATTGCCTTTACATGCCCAACAGGGTTCTGCTTTGAGGAAAGTGAGGTACCACTTGTTTAGGATCAATTATATCAAACGACAAAACCAATATGGTGAATTGTTCACCTATTAAACTGTGCACTGGATTGTGCAATGCAGTTTTCCCAGAAGCAAAACACCACCATCTCTGCTCTCTACCTCCATTCCACTTACTTATCTTTTGCAAAACAAGAGAGGATATGTGTTGTTAGTTGCCACAAATTGATTCCGACTCCCAGCAAGCCCAGGCACACAGAGAGAAGAACTACTCCAGAGTGTCTAAGGCTGTGACCTTTCCAAAGCACACTGACAGACCTGTCTCCTAAAGTGCCTCTTGGTGGGGCTGAACTGCTCTAAGAGATGAAAGCTTAACTGTACGCACCACTCAGGGTTTACAGAGGATACTTACCAGGTTTAAAAAACAAACCAAAAAACATGATTCTCCAATAAGATTTTATTTATTTCTCTCTTCCTTTCCTTTTTATTTATTTTTTAATGTGCTTTTGAAAGAAAAGGCTAAAACAGTTATTATGAATATACGCCAGCTGCAAAGTACCAGAGAGCATGGCACACCTCTCTGAAATTTACTCTTCTTATGGTGTATTATGAATGGAATTCTTAACAAATGACTGCAACAATTAGAGCAAATATTCTTAAGGAATACTCTTTCAGAACACTTAATTTAAAAACCTTGGTTTCTGCTGATGTGGTTGGGAAAAAATCTGACAAACTGAGTCTGAAATGTACCAAACTGTACAAAGTGGGAAGAGAACATGCAAAATGAGCTAGTCATTATCATTTTAAGTGCCACCAGTTCTGTTTATATTCATGCACATGTGAATTGCTGAATCTCATTTGATCAACCCAATTAAACATTAAATAATTGCAGCCAATTATGCAAATATCAGCAACAATATTAATTTGTTAATCTTTTTGAGCAGATTAGCCTCACATGTTCCTAATGTTAGACTATCGTATGCCTTAAATGATCAATTAGTGTTACGATAACTAAGTCTTGAAGGATGGATAATTGCCTAGCTATAATGTACCACTCTTGCTGTATTAATCCACTGCAATTAAACAAATAGTGCACAACCAAAATGATGTGCAGATGTTCCCGTAAAATCTATTTAACAAGTCAATGTCTAGGTCAACTCTTCCCATCTTATTACTTAAATGGGAATGGCAGATTGTGTCCTTGGTATTATAAACCTCCAGTTATTTTACACACACATATAAAAAATATCTCCAGTTTTTTCATAACTGTAGATCCTTAGCCTTCACTAAGTCTAGTGGAAAGGGCTTAACATGTCTTCAAGATTCATGAAAAAAATTATACACAGATAGTTACAATACGTATCATAGCTCTATGTTCTCTAGCTTACACAAAGGACTTGTCTTGCCATATTAAATTTAGAGATGCAATAGCAAAAAGTGCATGACAGGAACTATCATTTTTTTTTTTATAGTACTCTAAGTTTGGTTATTTATTATGTGCTACTTGATGACTAAAGACTTCCTGGGGGCTTTTTCTATACTATATTAAAAATGAGGTCAAGGGATTTATCCAAGGTAAAAGCAAACCCACAGTCTGCTACTAAGTGATCCTGCACAATGAACAGGAACACTTGGGCATGAGAAGAGTAGATGCTCTCAAGATTTCAGGTTGCCAACTGAATATTCCCTAGAAGATATTTTTAAAACCATTTCTTTTCATCTTATACTTCCCTAATTTTCCTCTCACCACTCCTATGTAAACAGACCCTACGGCTAGTGTTGGAAAACAATCAAAGTTCCATTTGCTATGACTCAGAGAAAGAGAAACTTTCCAATATACAAAACTTTTCCCTTTTGCATTGAAAAAAGAATGATAATATAATGTTAACATAATAGATAATATAGTGTTGGAGAGCTGACCTTTCTAGAGCAAATGTTTCCTAACTGATTTTGACTTTGTTCTAGATAAATCAGGAAGGATAAAATTTTAATTCACAGTTCCAAAATAAAAGGGAAAAACACCCACTCAGAAACCATCATCAGTTGCTCTTTCAGCACCATAACCACTCACTCATCTAATCCCAGTTCAACAGAAAAGCTCACCTCCAAATGTGAATACAATTACCACAGTATATTTCATCACTTTCTACCTCAAAAACAAAAAACAATCATTTATTTTGTATTTAACACTTAACATAGGATGTTTATCATTTCCCTTTGGTTAGTATCTAGACCTCTCTAAAACATACCTTCAATTCCAAGAGAGCCTTCAAATGTTTAAGTTATGAAATTAAGTGTCTCTAATAATTTATTAATCCATGGAAAGGAAGACAACAATGAGATAAATATGAAAAGGACAGAATCACAAATTTTAACAAAGAAGAGTCATAATATAGAAACAAAGAAAATAGACTCTTATAGAAGCTAAGTGTCCATTCACTCATTATACACTACATTTACTGAGTCCTATGTGCCAGGCATTGAGGGAACAGATACATAAGGCACAAGGCTGTGGTATTGTAGTGGAGGCAACAAGCAGCTGATTACAACATGGTGTGCAAAGGACAATGGTGGAACTACGCCTGAGCCTTACAGAAGATGAACACGAAGGAAGAAAGGAGTTTTACCTTACGGTTAACATTTAACTTCATCAAATGATAACATGGATTTAAGGAGCCTAACGGGGAATAAAAAGAATAGATGAAAGCAAGCAAAGGGAAGAGATCCAGTTTCAAAGTCTTGATTTAAAAAGGACAATTTCCAGTTGCTTCCCAAATAAACCTCCACCAATTTCTCGAAAAAGGAGTCAGCGGAATATTAAGGATCTTACCCCTGACCTACCCAATACTTCCCTCTGGACAAGGTCCTGTCCCTTTCCACACCCAGAAACCTTGCAAGTGAGGCAATTTCCTACTTGAAACAAAACCCCAAACAAATCAATAATGTAAAGAAAAGAAAATGCCAAAAACACCTTCTGAGGAAAACGGTATGTCAGAGGAAATGTGACCTATGAACTGTACTCAAAACAGCTTTAAGCTTATAAAAAAATCTCATTTGGTTGAGCGCGAAAACACAATTTATGCTAAAGAACAAATGAACAAACATCTCTGCACCTAAGTATCAAGGGAGGCACTAAAATTAGTGAGGAAAATTCTATGTCATATGGCTTACAGTATCATCGTGCTGGAGAAGGTAAAGAAAGCGCCTACTACCAAGTTTAACAAATCATCTTTTTTATGATTGCAATTAATTTTCTCCGACATGAGGAAACAATCAGGCTGGTGACACATTGATAAGATAAACTACATTATGCACGACTAGGGAGCCAAGGAAATCTATCATAATTCAAACTATGGTTTGTCCTAATGGCATACAGATGACAGCCCGAGTTTCTCGTTCAGGATACGAGGATTGTCCAGGTGCTCTCTTCTCTTCCATACTACAACAGAGCAAGAAAACAGGTGTCAGTGTCAGAGCTAAAAGTGCAGGGAGATGGCTTATAAACAAACCTAAAAATAAAACACGGCTGTGTAGAAGGTTCACTTCTGCTTTGAACATTAAAAGCACACTCACTATGAAAATAAAAACAAAAGGGACAGCCACCTTATAAAAAGAAGTTGAGCATAAAAAAGGAGATATAAGGAGATATTTAAAAACAAATACTGGAGAGAATCACAAAATGTTTAGTACTCAAATTTCCTAACTGATGTAGATGCTTCACATTATTTCAGTACGTACCTTTTCATTGTCATTTCTGTAGTTAGTGTCTGGACTTACAAACAAAGCAATTCAGTTATGTAATTTCTTTTACTATAATTCTCAAGGAGTCCTGGTGGTATAGTGATTAAGTGTCTGCAGCTAATCAAAAGTCTGATAATATGAACCCACCAACAAGGAAGAAATATGTGGCAGTCAGCTTCTACAATTTTTACTTTTTAAAAAATTGTACCATAGTGTTAGAGCTGTTAGGGACCTCTCCAATGTACTAAAGAGCAGTGGTGTCTCTCTGGAGACTAAGGTGCGTCTGAGACAGGCCATGCTCTTTGCTATCACTTGTTATACATCAGAGAGTTGGACAATGACTAAGGAGGATAGAAGGAGAATTGATGCCTTTGAGCTGTGGTACTGGAGAGGAGTATTGAGGGTACCATGGACTGCTAGGAAAACAAACAGATTCATCCTGGAGAGGGTTAAACCAGGCAACTCCCTGGAGGCAAGGATTCTGAGGCTCCGTCTAACATACTTTGGACATGTTGTAAGGAGAGACCAGTCCTTGGAGAGGGATATCATACTTGGGAGGATGGAGGGACAGCGCAGGAGGGGAAGGCCCTCTATGAGGTGGATTGATTCAGTGATTGGGGTAATCGGGATGGGAGTGTCAGAGACAGTGCAACTGGCACAGGATAGAGCAGAGTTTAGGACTGTTGTACACAGATAGGGTCGCTATGAGTCGCAAGCAACTCGACAGCACATAAAAACACCATAGAGTTTGAACCAACTCTTAGTTGAACCTCCCAGGAGGTTAACTACCCGTCTTTCTCTCTCATCTATAAAGATTACAGACTTACACATAATTTGGGGCGGTCCTCTGTCCTGTGGAGTCGTTCTATGCAGGATTTCATTAGATGATGAGTTTAATCTTTGTTACTTCAGCATTGCGCAACACATTAAGTGTTAACAAGTCAGTTCTAACTCAAAGTGACCAGGACAAAATCATACTCAGTCCTGTACTGTCCTCACAGTGTAGATGTTTAAGCCGATTTCTGCTGAAATTGTCTATCTCCTTGAAGGTCTTCCTCTTCTTCACTCACCTTTTACCAAGCATGATGTCTGCAGGGACTGGTATTTTCTGATAATTTCATGCCCCAAAATGAAGTCTCACTATTGTCCCTCCCATGATGTATCCCGTGGCATGTGTTCTAAGACAGATGGTTTGCTCTTTTGGCAGTTCATGGTTCAGTATTCTTCACCAATATGATCATTCATAGGCATCAATTCTTCTTCAGTCTTCATTGTTGTTGAGTACCATCGAGTCGACTCATAGTTGACCCTCCAGTCGGTTTACAGACATAGTTAATCACGTGGGAGAAGACTTTCTCCCATAGAACAGCCGGTGGATCTGAACCATGTGCCTAGCTTTACTAATTGCCCAATTTTTCCTTGTATGGGAGGTGAACGAAGGTATTAACGGATTTTATGGCTTGAGTTGTCTATCATCGCTGTTGAGTTAAAGAGTTTTCTGAGGCTGTCAATCAATCACATGGGAGATGATTGCACTTTTCTCCTGTGGAGCCTTTGGTGTATTTAAACTGCCAGAGAAGCGTCACCTTTGAGTTAGTAGCTCAACTCCTTACAGTAGCTGCTCCTCACATTAGACAGATACATTAGAAATGAACTGCCTTTCTTAATCTACTCAAAACCTTATTAGTGTGTTGTTATCGTGTTCAATTGAGTCAAAACTGACCCCCAGCTGACCCTCTGCGGTATTCAACCACAGTTAATTGCACGGAAAGAGGCTGCCCATTCTTCCGCCATGGAGCAGCTGGTGAATTTGAACTGCGTGCCTTTGGGATCACAGCACAGCTTCTGGCCACTAAGCCCCCAGTGTTCCCTTGTTAGTGTGTTGTTGTTGTTGTAGATATGTAAAATATTAATGTTATGCTATGCAAGGTAAGAGAGGAAATGAGACAAAATAGACTAGGCTACTGGTTGCTAGGTGCACTAAAATCTCAAGGGACTGCGGTTCAACTCCATCAGCTGCTACGTAGGTGAAAAGATGGGTACTCTCTTCCTGTCTGATTTACTGCCTCTGAAAATCCACTGAAGGGTCAGCTATTAGTCAGTTCGGATTCAATGCATACAACAACAACAACAACAACAACAATAATCCTAGTTGGACTTTTCCTCTCCTAAAATTTCAATAGTAGCAATGCTCCTGTTTTTGCTAATCAAACATTGCTATTCTGATATTTAAGACTGATGCTGAGAGCAGGGTTCACGTGCATCCCATTCTAATACATCTAAATCAAGTTCCTTAAATACGTTTTTGACAAATTGACATTAAAGGGCTTCCTCCCACTATTCACAGAGCAACATGTTTTCGCTCTTGTCTATTTGCTGGTTGTCTCGCTCCTGCGTTCATTCTCTTACTCATTCAAGAAAAGTTCTTCAGTCTGTACTTTGCTAAGCACTAGGCGCACACAAACGAAAAGATCATTTCAACAGCCCTAGTTAAAAGAAAGCAAGTGTGCAATTAATTATAATGTAATTTAAAAGTCATGTGTGTCTTTCCCTAGTGATTTGGAAGCTGGAAGAAACAGCAGTATTTAAATGAGTGCAAGTTTTGTTTTTATAAGAGGGAAGAGATGTTGTTAAAGAGAGATTAAAAAGGTTCTCAAAGACGATGGAGAGTTTTTGTGGAACAAAGAGTAAAGCATCTGGCTACTAACCAAAAGGTTCATGGCTCAAATCCACCTAGAGATGCTTCGGAGGGACCAATGATCTGCTTTTCAAGAGCAAACCACTGAAAACATTGTGAAATGCAATTCTACTTTGAAATACATGGGGTTACCAGGAGTCAAAATGAACTCAATGGCAAGTGACTTGGTTTTTGGTTTTGTTTTGTTCAAAGGAGATGAGTCGTGAATGATATTTATTAGGTAGGCAAATTGCAGAAGGTATACCAGAAGGAGCCCTCAGAGAGCAAAGATATTAGTAAAACGGAAACTAAATGCCATCAAATGATGGCAGAATCTACTGATAAGCGGCCCTCCACAGGGATTCTGAGACTGTAAATCACTCTCAGACAATAATGTTCATCTCTCGTCCATGGAACTGCTGGTGGAATTGCCCAAGAGACAAGGCCTTTGGGTAAGCAGAACAACTCCCTTGGAATAAGCCACCAGAGACAGTGCTCCAGAATGCCAGGTGAGCAGGATGGGAAGAAACAGAAATAGCAGCCAAGAGCAACGACAACCTTTCACTGAGACAGAAAAGGAACACTGGCAGCAAGACTAATGCTCTCCAAGGGTAAGTTTGGCCAAATACAAATACACAGAAGTGCAGTTCTTTGTTATTTAAAAAAAAAAATAAAAATGGAAACGTTCCCTTCCTGGGAGAATTTGTATAGCAAATGAAAACTCAGAATACTTATATGGACAATTACCTAAATGAGATGAAATACTTAACCTCAGAGACTCTTAGTCACAACAGAAGTTAAATGAAAGCCAAATCTGTGGTTAAGGAGGAATGTTCCCCGTGGGTCACACTGGAAAGAATCGGGGTTTTGGCAGCTGACATTGTTCCCCTCATTTTTCAACAAAGTAGACACTTCACAGGAACATTCATGTTTCCATGTAATGTCAAAGAGATCAAATGTAAAGTATGGTGCAATTCTGTGTTTTCTCCTAAATAATTACTTAAAGTATTTTTCTTGGAGAGAAACTGACAACCTAGTAGCTTGGCCGTCAGCACCAATTTGCCATTGTATAAAAGAATAATTTTAAGACTCCTTTACGTTCCATGCCCACAGGCCAGAATAACTGAAGAACGCTGTGGTCTTAGGTTCTAAATGTCTAATTTGGTTTTTGGTTTGTCTGGGTGTGTGCTTTTCTCTCCAATTTAAGATTTTGGAGGAGATTGGGTTCTTAAGGGTTTGTGGTTTATTACAGAGTCACTATATTACCTCATGTGTCCTATTAATTATATTCCTTTGTTTCTTTGTTTAGAACTGAGCACAGACTGTATCATTACTTTTCAGTCCTACCACCATTGTACTTGGAATAAAAAGAGAAGCCACTAAGTTCTTCTTACTAGGTCACACAGAGAACATATAAAGATAAGAGAAAAAGTGATGTGTCTCAGTTTGAGTTCCCAGTCTTGGCTTCTGGTTTACCTAGTATTTTTAAACTTTTACTCAGATCCTACCATTTAAATTCTTAGTTTTATTCTTCCTTTATCACTGGCCTTGATCTTTTTTGCTTTACATATCAGCATCAGCACGATTTTCTATGTTTGTTTCTTAGGACTTTATTGTTTTTAAAATTATCATATCACCAGTGCCTGGAACAGTACCTGGTATACTGTGCTCTCTCTAGATACCTGTTTAATGAATGAATAAAAAAGAAGCACTTTTGCCAGATATTAAAGAACAATCACAAAAATCTCATGGCTGTCAATCAGAAGTGATTCAATGCTGACCCTTCAGCAGATTTGCCCACCTTTCTCTTTCAGAGCCACTGTGGGCTCCCATTTGGCCTCTGTGTTAGACGTATAGCTTCCTAAGGACTTAACCATCAGAGCTTACTGAACAACATAACACCAATAAAAGCAACAGCAATAGCAACTGAGTTTGGGCTCCATCAAATGAAGAGTCTTGTTTTCTACTTCTTCATCTAACTAGATGCCATCCAGTTGATACTGATTCATGGTAACCCCGTGTGTGACAGAACGGAATTGTGCTCCACATGATTTTCAAGGGCAGATTTTTCAAAGAGATCACTAGACCTTTAAGTCCAAGGTACTCCTGTATAGATTAGAACCCTCAGCTTTTTTGTTGGCCTCCATGGATAGGAAATATGTATACCACTAAGGAATTAGATACTAAGTCCTTTTGAGAAGATATACACATGACAAAAATTTGCAGACATAAGGATTGTGTTATCCTTGCAAAACTCAATGATGTCATGAGGTTTTAAGATTTCTATAGGAGTTTTCTACCTGAGGGTGAGTAATGTCATCTAACTCAATAGGCAACAGCCTGAAGCCCTTTCATATTTGGATTCCATAAACTTAGTTTGAATTTTCTTTTTTTCCTGAAAACTTATGTAACAGCTCCCCGTCGTATCCCGAAAGTCTGTGTTTGGTTGTCTTGTACTCAGGTTTGAGGGTTCAGATGCACATATAATGCTGGCCCTATCACGCTGACAGGTAATAATTGTACTTTTGACCCCTAATTAATCTTTAATTACCTACAGCTTCATTATTGTCTGTTGAATACCTTTTCTTAGATCCTTTTCTCCAAATTAAATAGCTAAAATTTTCTCTCAAATCTGATGACCATACTTTTATTTCTCTTTTAATCCTTCATAATCAAATTGGGTAAGTTTATATTTTTTGTTTCACATAACCTCTAAGAGGTAACTCTGAAATCTCTTGTTGGTAAATTAACTGCTATAGAATAGTTCATTCTCTTCTCAATTTGCTCAAAAATTTTTTCAAGTTATCTTCTCACTATAATCATATTTAACTTCCTCATAAAAATATCTCAAATCTGTTTTGATAAAGGCTCTTACAATCTATACAATGATTTTTATTCTATTTACGGTTTTTACATTACATTAATGATTCACTAAATTAAAGCAGATTCATTCACAGTCAGGGGAAGGGTGTTGGAAACCCCAAAACCCAAAAAACAGGCCCCCCCAAAAAATCGGAATATCCTTTATTAGCTATTTCTCAAATGCCCTTTATGAGTTTCTATGTACAAAAGTAGAAAATGGGATTTTCCTTCTTCCAATATTAAGATAGTCCTTTGTTTGGCCTACAGAAAATTCCTATAGAAAAACTTTGGTAAACAGTAGAATTGAGATCAATTAGTGGTTCTAAAATGATCATTACTTCTTTTAATACTACAACATTTGCATAACATTGCTCAAAGTCTAAAACATGCCATTTTAATCACTCATTATTCAAAGACTTCTACTCTAGCGACCAGCTGTGTTCCAGTCAGCTTTTTATCCCTCTCAATTTTCAAGATGCAACTCCATCTGACCTTACCAATCTATCCAAATTTAATTCACCTTTTAATATAGGAACTTTGGCTCTCCAGGGCTGATTTCTTTGTTTGGCAATGGTACCTATGATTCAACCAAGATCTTCTTTTCACTACTTGCGAATTATGTAGTCTCTTTTACAAGTACCTCCAGTGTTACCTGGTATTTGATATACTAATATCCTGCATTGTAAGACTGCCCAAATGACTGATATTGCTTTAAGTCACTACTCAGAAAAAAGAAAAAAAGAGGACCTTCTCTCAAAAAAGAAAATATCAGGTTATGAAAATATAGACTTGCATGCTGTTAGGGATTGAACTGTGTCCCCTCCAAACATGGGCTGCTGATCCTAATCCTTAAACCTGTGTTTATGATCCCATTTTGAATGGGATCTTTCTTCAGCCAGTTTCCTCTGGAACTTGCACCCTAAATTTGAATTCTTAGCTCCTAAACTATGAAAGAACAAATTCCCGTTTTAGTCACCCCCTTGTGGTATTTGTCATGCAATCACTAGGTAAATAAGATAAAGACCCTTTGACTCTTCAATCCTACATTCTAAACTTAAAAAGTTATCCTAAAGAGAAATGGCACAACAGTGGGGCACAATCAGCTTTGCTATTTCCAAAAGTTTTTTTTAATTTCCCTAAACATTGTTTATCTTCTGAAATAATGCTCAACATTACATACTCCTCCTCAGTTTCTGGTAACGAACTCATAACACTTTGGGATCTGTCTACACACTTGCCCATGTTAGGTATCTCCCAAGTCTAGATCTGTCCTTTCATCTCTGACTTATTTTCCTCAGAAAAATATTTTCAAGGTTTATCCATGTTGTGGCATGTATAAAACGCTAATCTTGCTTATGACTGGATAATATTCCAACATATTCTCTTCAAGTCTAGAATTTTCCCATCAAGTACTGCCATAAGTTTTGGTATAATAATGCATTTTGACATTTATGCACCTCTTAAGAATTATTTTATTTCCTTTTTGATTTCTTCTTTTGACTCTTTGCTGTTTAAAGGTATATTGTTGAATTTCCACATATTTAAAATTTTCAAAGAACCTCTTTGATATAAAAAAACGAATGATTCATAAGTGAAAAAAGCAGGTAACAAAATTATAAATAATACCATTCCATTTTGCAAGGAAAAATAATATATAAAGTATGTAAGTGCTTGCAAAATATTAAAAATTGAGATATCAAAAAACTAGCCATGGTTATATCATGGTGTTAGAAGTAAAGCTAATGCATTTTTTTGTCATTCTCCTATTTTCAAGTTGTTAGTAAAATTGCGATAGTTTTAGTGACTTTTTAAAAGATGCTATCAAACTGATATATACACAATATATATATTTAAGTAGTTTGAAGACTCTGATAATATTTTCTATCCTACTTTGTTCATTCTCACAAATTCTACCAAGAAAATCTTTCTTAAATTTAATTTACTAATCCCAAATTTCAGTATCTGCTTGTTTCCTTACTGAAATATGATTTGGTTCCAAGTTTTGATTCCAAATAGAGATTTTTTTGAAAGAAAGAAGCACTTACTTGAATGTTAGTCAGTTTGTCCAAAATACGGCTTGCAAGCTTAGGACCATTCTCCATGGTTGGAATGTGTATATTCTATGAAAAAGAGACATAAATTGAGCATATTCTTGTATATGCCTTGGGAACATGTAAGATACTCAGCAGTGCTACTATGTTAACATCATTTTGCTGCTATAAGAAACAGCACTACACAACCTAACAAATTTGTGTTATTTTTCTATATGAAAGACGTTTCCATTTTGAATACGAATGAAAAACTTTGCTGCATAGTTGGGAAGTCATACTGCCAACCAAAGTCGCTTGGTTTGATTCCACCAGTTGTTCCAAACAAGATGGGCAATCTCCTTCCATGCAATTTATAGCCTCCCAAAATCCACTGGAGGGTTAGCTGTGAATGAATTCACACTCAATGACACTCAATAATAATAACAGCAGCTAATAATGGGCTGTTTATTGTCTGTTGTTGTTGGTAAGTATTGTCAAATCCAGTATGACTCATTACAAAACTATGAATAAGACATCTGAACTTGGTTCTGTTCTGTGCCACTATTCTCATCCTTGACACACTTGAGTCCATTGTCACAGACACAGTGTCAGTCCATCTTGTTGAGGATCTTCCTTTTCTTCACTAACTCTCCACCTTTCATAGCAGGTGTATGAGAAGACTCTGGCTTGAATTAGGTGCACCCCAGTCTTCAAACTGTCATCATTGCTCTTCAGGACTTTGAAGAGGTCCCCGACAGCAGACTTCACCAAAGCAATGTGTCTCTGGTCCTTCATGGCTTCTTCTAAATCCAACTTCAACGTCTGGCATTTCTCTGTCAATGTAATGTTCTGGTTTTTGAATTATCAGCAATAATTATTTGCTTGCAAATGATATTACTTATGTTTGATTTTTCCCTTCCACATTCTATTGAACCTCTATCTGGGGAATGGGAACAAATATGGATCTCTTCCAGTCAGCTGGGAACATTTAGGGGACAACTGGTTTATACATTAGCCTTTAGGCTGATTTGAGGAATCAATGAAAAGCTAAAGATATCTATCTAAAATAGTTGTTATACTCTATTTAAAAAAAAAAACAACTCTACCTTTTCCAGGATACTGAGAATCAGTAAGAAAACAGAGTATTATCATTTGCATCTTTTATCAGGAAATGAGCTTTTAAAAAACACACTGAACCAAACTAAGTCATTTTTAAGCAAAAGTGAAAGCTATGCCTTTATAAAAGTGCCTTTTCAAGCAAAACTTTTCAGAGTCAAATTTTCAAGAGCCACAACTTTCATAAAATACGAAAAAAACTAACACTAAATCTTGGAATAAATTCCAACTCACAGCAGCACTGTTGGAGCATATCCTGTAGCGTTCTGAATGCTGTAAATCTCTATGGAAGCCAACTACCACAAGTCCTTGGTGGGTTTGTATCCAGTGCTTTGGCTACTCTGCCACCAGGGTTCCCAGTACATGACAGCAGGGTTAAATTTATGGAAGAAAGAGATTCTATCTCTTATTTATATTTGAGTCATGCCCATTTATGCCTAGCTGTTTTGCTTTTAGTAGAGAGTCAATATTTGCAAACAAATTTCTTTTTGTGCCTGTTAGGTTTGTTACCATTATTGTTACACTTGAGTCAGAACGGGCTCATAGCTGACCCTCCAATGGGTTTTCAGAGGCAGTAAAACTCAAAGAAGATTGCCCACTTTTCTTCGATGAAGCAGCTGGAGATTTGAACCACTTACCTTGGGGTTAGCAACATAACCAGAGCTCCTTTTGAGAAGAATGAAATAATTAAATTTAATTTTTGGCTCTGAATTTGTTTCAGAAATAAGATCATTAAAATGTTAAGCTTTACAATGTTCATATAGGTAAAGGTGAAAGAACAAGACTTAAAAAAAAGTGGAGGACCTCTGTCACAACCATAATAAAATACTAAATACAGCTTTATAATCATGATATCTGATATATAGATGGATAGAGATATAGATCTCCTTTAGATGGAATTATACCAGAAGTTATTGTTCAAAACCAGTGTAAAAAAAATTCAGTCGGTGAAGTAGTAACCTTAAAACCAGTCAAAAAAAAACCAAAACCAAAAAAAAAAAAATCAAAAAACAACGCCACATTCAGCCGAGGAAAATTATGTAGAATTTATATTTAATGAGTAATATAAGACAATTCACATTTTAAAAGTTAAAATCCCTATGGCTGAAACTTAAAATTAAGATGCAGATGATACTAGTTTTGAGTATTAGAGCTTTGCTATAAAGGGAAAGAAAAATATTCACAAGAAATGGACACACACCAAAAAAACCCAGGCAGATTTAACAGGCAGAGGTAATTTCTCCCCTACCAAATCTTTGAATTCCTTTGCAAGACTTAATAGGCAAAGTATATGAAAAGGAGGGGAGGTGAGGGGGGAACCAAACAAAAATACCATACATTGTTTTTTTATAAAATATACCTAACATTTATTCTTATTTTAAATAAAGTTGGTCATTCAACTGCATTTTCCATAAATATTTGCCATTGCTACTCTCGTAACTTAGAAGTATTTTTAGAAACCACAAATTAAATGACATGCAGTCTTCTTTAGTGAAGTTGTAAAAAGAGATAAAAGTCTATGGGTGCCTCTCCAATCCTTGCATTTGTAGAATGATGTTTGTCTAGGGACAAAACTGACTTCTCACCATGTCTGAGCTCATACAAAATCACTGGAAGATGGTTGGTTATAAACAATCTGCTAATACAGGCACATCTGGACAAACTGTCTCAGATACTGGAATGTCAGGTTAGGATAAACCTAGGTTCAACTAGAATTTATCTCACATATTTTAAATAATCCATTCACTTACAGGTAAATTTGTATAAGTAAGGTAATAATGAAACATTGCCTTACCTCACCCTTATACACTATATCAGAAACCGGGCAAACAATACACGCTGTTCCAGAGCCAAACATCTCTTTCACTCTGTCACCCTTCAGAGCAGTGATCAAATCATCCATGGTGAGGTACCTCTCAGATACTTTAAATTCACCCTGTATAAAACACAGAAAATAAAAACCAATATATTCAAAAGAAGAGACATGTACAGCAATCTGCCATACTCACCTTCTCACGTTACATTCTGGTTGAGCTCTGATAATGCTATAACCATCCTGAGAGATGAACTGGAAAGACAATGCCATCTCACTGATAACATACTGATTTTTAAGTAACCTAGATCAAGGTCACAGGAATTCCAAATGAGATTATAATAATCTCAAATATAAAATGATCAGCTATAAAATACATGGTATATTTTAATAGAGTACCAGATTTCTTATCTTTTTTAAAAAATCATGGATAGTCTCACAAACTATAGCATCCCGAGTGCTTCTTAAAGAACTAAAAAGTGTTTTAATTCTAAAAAGATAATAATATTGTATCATATATTATGATGTTCATAATTTTAAATACCACATATCAAATTCCAAGTTCTATAATTATTGCCATAGCCTTCCTGACTTCTGCTTAATTTGTAAACATTTTATTTGTCAATGATAGGAAATAGGGGAAAAGAGCTGTACTTTAAAATATCTGTTTAATACTATTTTTTTTATTTCAAGATTTGTCAACAGGTTAGTTGAATTAAAAACAAAGAATGAACAGATTAAAAAATATGAGAGCATGTTTTATATTTTACACATTCACAATAGACAAAATGGAAATCACAGCCCTTGGCAAGATTCAAAATGTTAGAAATAAAATGCAGAATGCTTTAAGCATATCTGCAATAGGATGTGGCTCGTTACAAGTTTTAATTTATCTCAGTTTGCAATTGCAATTGTGTTATTCAAAGCTTTCAAAATTAGTAAAGTCAAGAAAATCAGCCAAGTTAATTGAAAACAAACTGAATTCTGTGTTCTTGGATGGTGGAGGAAAAGGGGAGAGCCTTGTAAATAAACAGAGTTGTTTTTACTCTGTTCACCCTTACTTATCTTTGGACAATTTCCTCTGTCTGGCAAGTGGTAGTAACCCCCCACATGCCTCTTGGCATTTTAAGTCTCACTGTTTTAAAATAGCTTTTAAAATAAATTACAGTTAAGGAGTCAAGAAGAAAAAGTCCAACAAAACTTCTTCCATAATAACCTATTTTTCATGCTAGCAAATCATTAGTGTGGTAAAGAATTTCCACTTGCAACTTGTCATCAAACCTTCTGTACTTGGTTGTTTTTTTCTTTAATAAAACAAAAATTACTGAGCTTCAGAAAGACTTCATTCCAACTGCAAACACATTTAGGACAGGGCAAGCTGTTTGAAATTATACCAACAGTTTGTAAATGTCATGCCCAATGTGCCAGCCGGCATGTGGCAGTTGGGTCTTGTCTACTTCAGGGTTTAGAAGGATTATTTATAGCACATTTCCTCTGTTTTCAAGGTCTTTTCCAGAGAAACTGTGCTAGTACTCTCCTAGATAGACACTGTGTGTGTTGCTAAATATTTGTCCTATTAGTACTGTTTGACCACAGTATGCTCAGAGCCTATTCATGCTCCTTGGAGACCATTTTAACACATGGGTCAAAAGTTCCATCCAAGAATCCCTGCCAGACAATCAACTCATTCAAAATTCATGTTGAGTATGTTATGTCATTTCCAATACCAAATGGTTTAATATGCTCGTGTCACAGAGATTTGAATGTCTACTGAAAACAACTTTAAATTTGCTGGAGTGGTTTGATTTTAAAATAAGTATATGTGAATTTGAGAGGAATAGGGAGAAGGAAGACAGCCAAATAAATAATGTTCTGTTGGAAAACATTTACATGTCAATAAAATGTTTCATTTCTGTTAATACTATGATTGCACTGAAATCAATAGAGAAGAAGTATGGACCGGTGCCATTTGTAAACAATGCACTTGGTCTTGGAGAAGCATGCAAAGTACAAACCAAGGAAGCTGGTATGAGACTCAGAGGATAAAGACTGAGAATACTGCTATAATAAAATAACTCTTCACTAAGACATCCTGCCAAACTGGTTTCTCTCTGCCCTTTAGAACAAACAACACTTATTGTATGGTCTCACCAGAACGGTTCTTTCTAGAGTTCTTTTCTTTCAGATTTAAAGATAACATCAGTTGGAACTACAGGGCATTATTTCAACACCAGCCTGGATTACTTGATTACTTTCGGTTTCATGGTTATAAAAGTTGTTCATGTCAAAGGCACCTACCCACTTGCGCGCCAGTTCCAGAATGCTCTGCCTTGTCACTCCTGGAAGAATGATGCCATCTAGCGGAGGAGTTGCCAGTTCTTCTTCTGTCAATTATAGATTGGAATATTGTCAAACTCTAACTATATAAGACACACTTTATATAAATAGTTTAGAAAAACATTTCTAGCAATTTTGATAATAAAAAAAACACAGGAATTTGTTACTGTTCATCATTAACAAATTTTCCCATAGCTATAAAAAGAGAAAGGTTTGTGTGTATGTGTGTGCATTAGAGTCAAGTGACCCTCCAGTGGGTTTTCAGAGGCAGTAAATCACACAGGAGGAGATTTGAACTGCACACCTTTGTGTTAGCAGCACAATTCCTTACCATTAAGATCAAAGAAAAGACTAGACACCCTGTTCTGTTAAGAGACTGGTGGAATCCCTAAGGCAGTAATAACTCTTAGATACCTTTCAAACCCACAAATGAATCCACTTTCAGAGATCACCTTCAGTCAACTGATAGTCTATGAATTGAATACTAACATCCATGAGGAATGTGCTGCTCAGAACAATGAATCCCATGAGACCAAAAAGGTAAAATTTTCACCACTCTTATTAAGCAGGTCTTACATGGGGAATTGGGAGGAGAAAAGGTTAAGAGTGGATAGATAATGACCATTGCATCGAAACACACGAAGGAAAGAACTGTCTAAAAGGAATGTATGATTAAGCATTTTACATATGACAACAGCCTAGAATAAGAGGTCTGTCATTGCAAAGAGGACTGGGGTGGGTCGGGGAGATAGGTAATTGTGCAACAATGAATATTACCAAAAAAAGTGAACTGGCGGAGGGAGAAGGGAGAGAGAGGAGGTACAATGTGCAACAATGAATGAATGAATGAATGAAAACCTAACTTTTCTGTAAACATTAAAATCACAATTAAATAAAATTTATTTTTTAGAAAAGTTAAGATTTGCTAAACACAAACATCAGAAAACAGTAAAGAAAAGGAAAATGGGCAAATAGAAACAGGGTACCTAGAGAGGAAAACGGAAGAATGCTGTTAAACTGAGGAAGTTTTAAACTATGTCACAAAATAAAATGTGCATAAATTATTAAATGAGAAAATAATTTACCATGTGAAGCTTCATTTGAATCACAATAAATTGTTCAAAAAGCAATAACACATGATTTTACAATCCATAAAAATGGTCTATCTCTGTTTATTTAAATATTACACGTTCAACAATGTTTTGTAATTTTAAGTATAAATCTATGCCTTATCCTTTTATTTTAAAAATTACACCACCTAAGATTTGTCATTTTAACCACTGTATAATTACCATTATATAACAATCAAGTGTATAATTCAGTAGGATTAATTACACTCACAATGAATAATTTTTACACTCACAATGGATAATTTTTATATAGAATTTCTTACACCATGCATAGTTAAATTTATTCCTAAATATTTTTTCTTTCATGCTCTTGTAAAATATATTTTAAATTTTTTGCAATGTACCTCTTATACTGGACTGTGTCTTACATATAATGCCTAATCATATATTCCATTGCAAATAGGACTGAGGGAGAGAGGGAGGGAGGAAAGTGTGCAACAATGAATGAATGAAAATCCAACTTTCTGTAAACTTTCATTAAAATCACAAAATGAAAATTTTTAAAAAAAATTAATTTTTTTAAATATTTTAATTGGCTATGGGTAATATATAGAAATAAATTGACTTTTCTATACTGATGCTATATCCTGTGGCTTCCTTAAATTCACTTACTAAATCTAGTAGATTTTTTTTATATGTGTTTTAGGATTTTTCTATACATCTATTATATGTTTGGAAGCAAGAGTGGCATCCATTTCCTAAACAACATGCCTCCAGAAACTCTATTAACTTTGATAAATGTCAATAATTATAAAAGGGCTTCAGGCCCTTTTCATAGAGTCGCAATGAGTTGTACTCAACTCGAAGGCAATCAACTACACAACAACTATTATTTGTAAACAAAAGACTGTTTTACTGTTTTCATTTCTTAAAAACAGAAGAAGGCTACTCATTTCACTACTTTCAGTTTATCAGCAAGAAATTAGATGGTTACTTATTAACAAATGGTAAACAATATTCTTAAGACAGTTTTTTCAACAAGATTTGTCTCATTGGAAATTATGAATTGAATTGTGCTCCCTTGCCATTGAATATCACAATCTCTACAACTGTGGTTCTAATTCTGTTTGGGAGAATCCAGGCTGCTCTTTGGATGCAAGGAATTTGAAGCTTCCCCCCCCCCCATACTTTGGGTATGTTGCCAGGATGGACCAGTTCTTGAAAAAGGACATGCTTTGAAGGGCTGAAAGATAACTTAGGAGAGGAAGAAAAGCCTGGATGAGATGGATTGACACAGTACCTAGGAGGTAGGTGTGTCAGAGGCAGACTGTCTCAGGATAGGAGAGGGCTCAAAGCTGTTGTACATAGGTCACTATGAGTCAGTGACTTGACAGCACAGAACAACAAAATATTAATCAGGTAATGTCAGTGTAGCCTTTCTATAACTATCGACAGTTATCAAAGTTCTTAGGGTTTCCAGAGGCATTTTGTTTAGGAAGTGGATGCCAAAAGCAGTGTAGGGTATAGCATTTATTAATCTTAACCAAACACATAAATAAGATGGGGAAAGAAATGTCAAACCATAAGTGATTTCTAAGGAACCAGGAGAAGCAGCTGAAAATCAACAAAGACCTTCCCCCAGAGTCAACAGAAACAACCAAAAGAGCCAACAAAGAAACAAAGTCAGTGCCTAAAATCAGACTAAATCAAAGGTTGAGCATCTCTGGTACTTCAAGTCCAGCAGCAACTCTGAGGGAGAAAGATGGGCAGTCTATTCGATTAAGATTTGTAGCCCTTGAGTATCACTATGACTCAGAACTCATTTGATAAACGTGAGATGTTGTTGTTGTTGTTGTTGTTATGTGCCATCGAGTCGCTTGCGACTCATGGCGACCCTATGTACAACAACTCTAAACTCCGCTCTGTCCTGTGCCAATCTCATTGACTCCGACACCCTCATCCTGATTGCCCCAGTCACCAAATCAATCCATCTCCCAGAGGGCCTTCCCTTCCTGTGCCTACCCTCCACCCTCCCAAGCATGACGTCCCTCTCCAAGGACCGGTCCCTCCTTACAACATGACCAAAGTATGTCAGGCAAAGCCTCAGAATCCTTGCCTCCAAGGAGCAGCCCGGTTTAACCCTCTTCAGGATGAATCTGTTTCTTCTCTTAGCAGTCTTCAGCACTCTTCTCCAACACCAAAGCTCAAAAGCATCAATTCTCCTTTTATGCTCCTTGGTCATTGTCCAGCTCTCCGATGCATAACAAGTGATTGTAAAGCCCATGGCCTGTACCAGATGCACCTTTGTCTCCAGAGACACACCGTTGCTCTTGAGTACTTTAGAGAGGTGCCTAACAGCAGACTTTCCCATGGCAATACGTCTTAATTTCCTGACTGCTGTTGCCAAAAGTATTGACTGTGGAGCCAAGCAAACTAAAGCTGTGAACAATCTCAATCTCTTCACCATCCATCCTGATGCTGCCAATTGGTCCAGTGGTGAGAATCTTCATCTTCTTGACATTGAGCCTCAATCCATATTGAAGGCTGCAGCCCCTGACCCTCAGCAGCAAGCGCTTCAGTTCCTCCTCAGTTTCAGCAAGCAGGGTTGTGTCATCTGCATAATGCAGATTGTTTATGTATCTTCCACCAATCCTGATGCCACATTTCTCCTCATGGAGTCCAGCCTCCAGGATGATCTGTTCTGCAAACGTGAGTAAGCCTCCTGAATTCTGAGAAAGTGCATTTATTTGTTAAAATCAACTTTCTGTAGTACTTTGTTACAGCAGTACTAGATCACTACGAGGGTAGAAGCTGTTTAATAATTAAAAAACTGTACACAGGCTCATACTCAGTAAACAGTGGTCATCACCAAATCTTTTACAAATACTGTGAAGATGCCATCCCCCCCAGAGGTGAGCATGTCCCCGAAGGCTCGTTACTGCCCTTGCAGGTATGTGGAGTATCAGCATCAGGTAAGGAGATGGTAGTTTCAAATGATGGAGATTCAAATATAGCCGGCTCAAGGTGGACACACGCATGTGTGTGGCTAGAACAAAAACAATAATCACTCCATGGAGACCCTGCCAGAGAAGCAATGCTGAAACATGGTGCACTGTGAAAAGGATCACAGCATCCCTATCCACCATGCTGGCTGGCATGATGACCCACATAGGGGAGCTGGAGTCATCTACCATCTGCTCAGCCAGTCTTCACAACACATCCCCAACATTCAGCTCTCCTTTCCTTTCCACCTCTGGAACCCAGAAAAACAAGTCTAGCCAGAAATTCGAGGCAGGGGAGGGGGCGAGGAACGATGGTGGCTTAGTGGTTAAGAGTCAAGCTGTCAACCCAAAGGCAAGCAGTTCAGATTCAAATGCTGTTCTGCAGGAGAAAGATGGGCAATATCCTCGGATGTGATTCGTTGCCTCTTAAAATCACTGAAGGGTCAGGTATGAACCAGTTCTGACTCTATGGTACGTAACAACAGTCATACCTTAAATCCCCACTTTATAAGGATATTTAACATCATAACAGATTATGTGTTATCTATTAAGTGTTTGCAAGGGAATTCACAAAGGATGCCTGAAAGAATCAACAAGTAGCAAAAGCTGTATAATAACCACATTGCTTTCTTCATATTCTCCCAACCCATTTTATGTACCTAAAAGAGACTTTATAAACTACTCAGTGCAATGCTTATTCTGTAGAAGAAATGGAGGCATTATAAACACTTGTAACTTATGATTTGTGAGGCTGGGAAGACTAGGAAACAGCCTGGGATAGATCTCAAATGTCCTCACTTGATGACCACGGACGGCCCTTGTTTTCAGTGTACAAGTACACAGCGGTCCTGGCTCACCTCCTCCACCACGACCATTCCACATGGTCCCAACAGCCAGGCTGTGTCTAGAAGACTGAGACAGAGCTGTGTTCATCCTTGAAGCCCCAAAATTCAGCAGTGTGCCAGGCCCAGAGTGGCACACAATTTAAAAAATTCTGAATTTAAGAAAATGAATGAATAATCCTCTTTGCTGGGAAACAGCAGTTATGCTTTCTTTTGAAGTTGTTTCTAAAAATCATCTGCTGAAAATTGCTCTCTGGAAAGAAGAAAATTTGTTCTTGGCATATTCTTAGGGCTACTATTTGTCATGTTTAGAAGTGTTGACAATCTCAAAATAAATGTGTGTTTTTCAATAGTGAACTAGCTAGATGGATCTATATCTGTATGGATATATGCATATACACGCACACACACAGAGACATACACACACTTCAATTTTTCTCAAACTGGACCTTTCTTAAAACTTGCTGAGCAATAAGACTACACAAAGTTAAACGAAAGCAGCAGCTTTGCATGTACAAGTGCTGTTTTGTGAAATATATTTAACACCCAGGCCTGTAACCACTAGCCTGAGGTCAAGGAACAGAACATCTGCTTCTCTGGTTGCCAGACAGAGATGATGACATGACAACATTTGGGTGAGAAATATTCCTTTTCCTCTGCAACCACAAACATGCTCACAAGAGCCAGAACTAGCTACAGATTGCCCAACATGAGGAAAACAGAACCTACAAACGCAGCTTGCTTTTGACAAAGAAGTAATTTTGAGGAGCTGAAGAATTTGGACACAGTAACAGCAGGATTCTTCTACGCCTTCCCAAAGCCAAACACCATAAAGAAATCAGTGGGAAGCAAGAATGATGGTGTATTAAACATAAGAAGCAGTAGATTTATTCACTTATTCAACAAATATATATGTTGTCTATCATGTGCTATATTCACTATTTAGAGCCCTTGGATACAGCAAAGAACAAAACGGAAATAATTCCCACCTTTTTTTGCTAGTAGGCAGAGGCAAATAATCACTACATTAAATAGTATGTTGGACTGTAGTTAGTTGCCATCAGGTCAATTCAGACAAGTAATCTTATGAGTGCAGAGTGGAAGAAGACAGCCAGGTGTAAATTCCAGGGCACCTCTGGTGGGTTCAAGCCAGCAATCTTTCAGTTAGAAGTTTAGCACTTAAACATTCGCACTGGGACTCCCATGTTAGACTATAGAAGGGAAAAAGACAACGCAGGGAGTGGAGTGGAGATATGCTAGGGTAAATAAAGTGATTTACAGTTTTCTCTCAAGGAAGACCTTAATAAGAATGGGGTATGTGAGCCGAAAGTCCTAAAGGGAGCTAGAGAATAAGCCATAAAAGCATCTGAGGGAAGAGGGCTCTAAGCAGAGGCAGAAAAAATACCCGATGGACTGGGAAGGCTCATGACAACCACAATCATTCAGACTAACGGTGAACTCAAGCCCAGGATGAGATCTTACTGTATTTTCAATATCTTAGCACTACATTTGTATAGTTGGTCTTATTGATTGGGTACCATCAAGTCAGAACTGACCTATAGCTGATCCTCCAGCGAGTTTTCAGAGGCAGTTAATCTCATGGGAGAAAACTGCCCATCCTTCTCCTGCAGAGCAACTAGTGGATGGATTAGAACCATGTGCCTTCGGGATGCAGTGCAGCTTCTTACCATGAGGCTCATATGAGTTATTTATAGGTCCAAGTGCCATAAATAGTTACCGGACACGATCCTCTCCTTTAAATATAGATTATTTCTCTTACCTACTTTTCTTGCCCAAGAGAAGGAAAGTAGGTCATCATGGAATGATGAAAATACACTACTGAAAGAACTCCGCCTATATCTCTTGTTGGTAAAGTTTGTAAAAAACACTACTATTGATTTTCAACTCATTATTCAATGTATTTTCCTAAAGTTAAGTGATATAAATCAAACTTAAGACAGAGTTGTTTCAATCTTTTTCTTTTAACCCCAAAGATATTCTTGGATTTTTTTTTTTTAATTTAGTTCTTTCATGGTATTCTTTCAATATATCTCAGGTGACCATAATTTGAATATTAACTTTTAGGTCTTATATATGTTGAAGTGATCTGAAGAGAAATTCATTCACTTCTATTCTGACCTTTAAAAGTCATGGGGAAAAGTTTCCATGGCTATTGTTTTAATAATGTTAATTTTTCATCAGCAGAGTTTCTGACGTATCTAGGTAAATGGTGCAGCTCTGATTCTGACTATGCTTAAGCACTGACACCTCTCAGACATAATGATGGTATCGTCTCTATGTTTTTGTTTTGAGTGTTTCCCATCCCTCCTCTGCAGGCAGCAGGTGGGGAGAGATAGGAAGAACTGAACCAACCTACTCCATGTAGGGAGTTCAACAACGGCTGTTATTAAGTTATTCAAGCTGAGCTCCTGACACATTATATGCAATAAATCACATCTATTTAACCAGTTGCTGTCAGTTGCTCCTGATGCATAAAAAGCTCAAATGCAGAAAACTCAAATATTACAGTATACATTTTTGTTCTTAAAGAATTATGAGGACTGTGAGTGTGGTCTGTAATCAGGTTTTTCACATGACAAGAGTCACTAATAGCTGACTTCAGAACGAGGTGTGCTGGCCACACCTTCTCCCCCCTCCCTCTCTATTAGGAATAAAAGACTCATCTTATTAGTCGCAGAACTAATCCTCAAATTAGTGGACAGTTCTGATTCAGCCTCATGTGAATCACCATTTTCCTCCTTTTCTAGCCAAGTAACACCAGCAGTAGTAAATAACATATAGAACCTACCATCACCGCTGTAAAATAAAAATGGAAATAATTTTAAGATTTACTTGAGACTTTATACATATTTGGAAAGTTAACATTGTACTTTGGTCACTATACTGACTATTTTGAAATGAAGCATTTAGAACTAAAATTGGCCTAGTTGTAAGGAGTTGTGCTGCCAACCAACAGGCACATGGCTCAAAGCCACTAGTTCCTTCATGGAAGGAAGATGGTAGTCTCCTCCAATGCAATTTTCTGCTTCTGAAAAATCGGCTTGAAGGTCAACTATGCGTCAGTTCCAAATCAATAATATGTAACAACAACAATAACACGATGATTCAAAGGAGCTCTGTGGTATGTTGCATCAAGTATCTCCATAGGAGCACATGGGCAGTTTCTGAGTCAGAATCAACTCTTTGGCAATGAATTTATCATAACTCAAGTGGAAATAAATACATATCTATATTTTCTTCCAGTGCATAGACATTGTGACTGAGACCTTTTGATCTATTTCTACTAAAAGAAAACAAACAAAAACCAGCAAAGAGAACTCATGAATATTCAAAATACTTTAGAAAACAGAGAAGTGGTAATTTTAATAGTAGACTTATCACTAAAGGGCTTGAATGAACCATTATCTAGATACAACAATTCCAATTAGACTGATCTGTTCTTTGAGTGCTCTTTAACCCAACTGAGCTCCAGAGCAGTTCTGGAGGCTTCCGATTCTATAAAAATGTATATAGATATGGCCATGATTGTTAAAAGGATTATACCAAGAGGGCAAGATAAATTTCATACCAGAAGAACATATTTATTATTATAACATTTGATAAATAAACACATCATGCACTTTATAGCTTTATTTATATATATATATAATGCTCTGTGTGTGTGTGTGTATGTATGTATGTAATATAGCATTATATTGTTATTGTTTGCCATTGAGTGGAAACCAACTCATAGCTGACCCTCCAGTGGGTTTTCATGGGCAGTATACTGTACAGTAGAAGATTACCCATTCTTTTCCCATGGAGCATCTGCTAGATTCAGACTATGCCTTTGAATTGGTTTCAACTGTCAACCTTTATGTTAGTTAAAAATAGACATATTTTTAGAAGTCTATAAAAGTTTTAATCAAACTCATGGCCATTGACTTGATTTCAACTCATGGTGGCCGACTATATGTTCGCTGGGTCTGTAAATCTTTAATGGAGGAAATTGCTCACTTTTCTCATGCAGACTTTCTGGTCGATTTGAATCACTAATCTTTCAGTTAGTGGATCTACATGTAACACCTTATGCCACTCTAGTGCCAACTACTGGCACCATCCAATGTGGTTGATAACCAAAATGTATGCATATCAAACCCACCAGCTGCTCTGCAGGGTAGGAGGCAGTCTGATTCTGTAAAGCTTTGCAGCCTTGGTAACCCTAAGTACAATTAATGGGTCACTATAAGTCAGAAGTGACTAAATGACAAGTGGGTTTGATTTTTGGCTGTGTATAAATCTGAGGCCTACACATTCAAGAGTGTTGGGAAAAGAAAATTGTTAGGGTGGTGACAAAGATAACAGTCTTCAAATCATGAGAAATGATATCTAGTCCATGTCTATAACACAAGACCATCAAGAAAATGCTGGCTTGGATCTCTTCAATTTCTATCAATAAAAAAATATAACTACATCAAAAAAGGAGACTTAGAGATGGAATAATTAAGTGCCTGTTAATTCAAGGTTGATGGCTTCTAAAAAAAAAAAAAGAATCTGCTCTTCTAAAAATCAGATCTGAGAAAACTACTGGGCAGTTCTACTCTACCAAACAATCCTACCAAAGACCAATGTTAAAATATTACCTTCTAAGTGGACAGGATAAACACTACGATTTCTTTTATAGTTCTAGTTCTGTTCTCCCCAGGCCCATGAAAAACAGCAAAGAACTGAAACCTGAGTGGATTACCTCCATCTTCATTTATCCAGTAAATAAAAACATTCATAGTCCCAACTTCCGTTATCTGATGATCCTCTCCATAGAGCCACAAAACCTGACAACATCCATTATCAATTGCTTCACATTGGGCATACACAGATGCGCCATAATTCCTTTAAAAAAAAAGAAAGATATACCAATTATAAATGCACATCATTTTCTTTCTTGTCTCTCCACCAACTTTCACAATCACTTACCCTTGAATTCTCAAGTCTTCCATTCACATGTGGATGTAGTTTTAATATATAGGCCCTCTATGTGTCAGAGAGCTGGACAGTGACTAGTGATGATAGAAAGAGAATTGATGCCTTCAAGTTGTGGTGCTGGAGAAGAGTGTTGACTATATCATACACTGCTAGTAGAACAAACAGGTTTGTCCTGGAGAGGGTGAAATTGGGCTGCTCCCTGGAGGCAAGGATTCTGAAGCTATGTCTGACATACTTTGGGCATGTTGCAAGGAGGGACCAGTCCTTGGAGAGAGACATCATGTTTGGGAGAGTGGAGGGACAGCGCAAGAGAGGAAGACCCTTGATGAGATAGATGGACTGATTCAGTGAATGGGGTAACGGAGGTGGGTGTGTTAGAGACAATAAGATAGGCACAAAATACAGCAGGTTTCAGGGATGTTGTACATAAGGTTGCTATGAGTGGCAAGCAACTCGACAGCACATGACAACAACAACAACAGTAACAACTAGATAATATAAAAGCTCACTAGAGAAACTAAATTATTTCATTTAATTCACTGGAGATACTACAAAGCACTGATTAAGACTCTTGGAATCTTAATATGGAAAAATCAAAGAATTCAGGTAAAAAACAGTCAAGTTAAAGCTAGGAGTTATTTAGACACTTTTATTCACACCAAGAAATTTTGCATGAATTATTACATGTAAATCTCACACCAGTACTCTGCGTTAGTCATTATTATTTCTATTGTTTAGAGAAGAAATTGAAAGAACCATGCTGGCTCTGTAATTAAGGTGTTCCACTGCGAACCAAAAGGCCAGAGTGGTTCAAATCCATCAGCCACTCCAAGAAGTTCAGGAAGTTGCTTCTGTAGACAGTTATACCTCGGGAACCCTGTGAGCAATTCCACCCTATCCTACGCATGACTCTGAGTTGGAATTTACTTGATTCCCACTTGTTGGAAGCTGAGAAAGAGAAATTTAGATGAATAATTTATATGAACTTTGAGACCAAGTAGTAGAAACTTGAAATCTGTGGTCTTTTAACTGCAACTTCTTAATATAATCAAGAACATCTGATTCCCAGTACCTAAATTCCCTAAATGGTTGAAACAAAAACTCCAATTTTGACTAGAAAGTATTCTAAAAGTGTATTTTCCTGAAGTTGTACTAGTCATACTAGATCATTTAAATTAAAACAAACAGACAAAACCCCATAGGAACATGACACATTTTCCACCTTTCTAGACTTGACAATTTGTTGCTGTTGTTGGTAGGTGCCCACGAGTAGAGTACGACTTAGAGCAACCCTATGAACAGTGAATATGAACAGAGTTCTATCTTATGCCATCTTCATACTACTGACACACTAGAGCTCACTGCAGTAGTCACCAAGTGAGCCCACCTGGTTGAGGGTCTTCCGCTCCTTCGCCGATCCTCCACCCTTCCAAGCATCATATCCCTCCTCTCCAAGGAATAGCCCCTTCTAGCAACATGACCAAAGTATGCGAGGTGAAACATCGTCGTCATTTTTGCCTCCAAAGACCACTCTGGCTGTACTCCCTCCAAGAAATATTTATTTGTTCTTTTGGCATTCCTTGGAATGGTCAGTGCTCTTCCCCAAAACCACATCTCAAAAGCATCGATTCTTCTGTCATCTTAATTCGTTTTCAAGCTTTCAGATACATATCAAGTGATCAGAACGACCATGGCCTAAATGAATCAAACATATCTCACATACTTTGGGCATATTGCTTAGGAGGGGCTATTCCTTGGAGAAGGATATAAAGCAGGGAAGAGTGGAGGGTTGGCGGAAGAGAGGAAGACCTTCAACCAGGTGAATTGACACAGGATAGGACAGGGTTCAGATCTGTTGTTCAATGGGTCGTACTTTCAACGACACCTAACAACAACATGTACCTGAAAGTCAGAAAATGAATAAGGATAATAAAAGAAAAATCTATACCTTCTAATTGCAGTTTTGGTGATGAGGATTGACTATCCTATGAATTGTCAAAAGAAGAAAGCAAAATGTTTCGGAGAACATGCAACCAGAGGCTCTTCAAAGGCAAGGATTGTGAAACTTCATCTTACACACTTTGAGCACTTTGTTAGGAGGGGCAAGTCCTTGGAAAAAGACATCCTGCTTGGAAAGGTAGAAGGTCAGTGAAAGAGAGGAAGACCTTTAAGAAGATGCATCAACATAGTGATTCTAACAATGGGCTAAATAGAGTATATCAGAGATGATAAGGATGATATAGAACAGGGCACTGTTCAGATTTGTTGTTCATAGGGTTGCAATGCGTCATTAGGGAGCTCTGGTAAGGAGCTGTGCTGCTATCCCAACCACTTTAATGCATGAAACTTGAACAACTGATAACTCTGTTCCACTTCTGGAGGGGCTTATTTGGCATAATAAAAATTCATAGTATCCTATGTCCCACAATCACTATCCCTCAGAGAAAGCAGACCAATGACATATATAGACCAAAGAGCTACACAATATGGAAGGAAGGAAAAAGGGAGGGACGACTGTGCCCTCTCTGCTGGGGGGCGAGGGGTACATGTCTGCAGAGGGGGGCAGTTACAAGGCTGAAACTCATCATTTAGATGAGGTAGTCAATTCCTTTTCTGCTTAAAATACTCCAGCCAGTTTTCCGGTTTGCAACTGAACGAATATTAAATAACTACTGAAATAAGGAAAATTGTATATAATAAACATTGAAATATATGCTTACTGCAGTCTGACATGCTTTATGTCACTGTAAGACTAACAACACATACCTCACAGCTAAAGTATGTTATTAGTTTTCTTTCATAAATGAGGAAATTGAGACCTAGAAGAGTTAAGTAACATATCATATGCTATTTGATGTTTAAGCCAGTTCTTTCTTATTTCAAAGTTTATACCCTTGTTAAGTACATAGAGAAAATGTCAGGGGAAAAGGAATGAAAATGAAAGTAGACAGATGATTTTTAAATTCAGGTGGGATAGACACAAGGTCGTATTTTGGTTCTTATAGACCTGTCTGAGTTTTCTTCAGCTTCACCTTGAACTCCCTCATGCGACTTTCATGGTCTGCTTTACAGGGATTACCTGGACTGGTTTTGTCTGCTGACATTGAGCTTCTCCAACTATTTCTTCCACAAATACAGTCAATCGAATTCCTGGGAAGTCAATCAGGTGAGGTCCTTTTGTGTTTTTTTAAAGAAGATATATGTGATGCATAAACCACTAAATGTATAAAATTTGATCATTCATTGTCCAGCTTCATTTCTGTCATCAAGACAGTACTCCCTGAATAACATTCCTTCCTCAAATTTAGACTTGAAAAGTTGGTAAAAATCCCCAGTTTCCTCCACTTTTAACTTAGTTGTTAGTGCATAAATTTGAGTATTTGTCATATTCATAGATCTTTCTTGTATGCAAATGGATCAGATCCTATCACGATATTGAACTTTAGGTTAGATCTTTATTTTTTCACTATCACTGTAACAACATTCTTCCTTAGCTTTTCATTCTGGGCATCAGGAATAATCTTATGATTGTCTGATTCAAAGTGGCCCATGTCAGTTCATTAATGCCTGGAATTTCAATCTTTATGCATTACATTTCATTTTTCAAAACTTTCAGTTTCCCTATTTATAATTCATATATAATATATTCCAATTATTAAAGAATGCTTGCAGCTGTTTCTCCACATTTGATGACTTCCAATCTGGGCTCTACCTCTAATACTATATTCCTCTATTTTTCCTAAGATATTCAAAGGCCTGGCATTTAGTAGATGGCCAGTTCTGTTTCCTACTCTGTCATAATCTTCACTCTGCTGAGACCTGTGGCAGTGACCCTTCTGGCATTTGAAACACCAGTAGCACAGTTTCAAGCATCACAGCCACCCACAAGTTACCTCAGTACAGTAAACCAACAGACAAGTCTATATTAAGAAGAGTCAACCATAAATAAACAAGCATATACATATTTAAGCTATCAAGTAATTAACAACAGGTAAATCATCATTTCCCAGACACAATGAATTAATAGGTAAGTGTTATACCTCTAACAGCTCGAATACTAATTAATGAAAACCAGATAAGTTATGGAATGACATAAAATAAATCCATAAAGAGAGCAAAAATACATTTCAAAGACATAAAAGGAAGAAAAGACCAAAATGGATGTCAGTCAGAAAAGACTGAAAATTACACTAGAGTAATGAGAAGAAAAAACAATATGTAAGAGAAGCCCACGTAAAATAAATGATTGTAGGATTTCAAAAAGTAAAGCGAAATGTTATAATGGAACATGCAAAGAACCGTAGAATAAGAAATGGAATAATTTTCTCTGCATTATTAAAGTTCCTGGAGCAGCACATCAACAGAGAACTGCCAGAAGTGCAGGCTGGATTTAGAAGAGGTCGTGGTACGAGGTATATATTATAGCTAATGTGAGATGGATCTTGGCAAAAAAATAGAGAGTTCCAGAAGAATGTCTATTGTGCTTTCATTAACTAAGCAAAAGCTTTTGATTGTGTAAATCACAACAAACTATGGCTGACTCTGAGAAGAATGGGAATCCCAGAAGAGTTGATTGTGCTAATGTGAAACCTATACTTGGACCAAGAGTCAGAACAGAGCAAGGAGACACTACATAGTTCAAAATTAGGAACGGAGTCCACCAGAGATGTATTCTATTTCCATATTTTTTCAATATGTATGCAAAACAGATCATCTGGGATGCTGGGCTGTATGAGGAGAAATGTGGCATCAGGACTGGAGGAAGA